TTGGGGGTTTAGGGATTAGGGTTTGGGGTTTGGGGTTTGGGGTTTAGGGTGTGGTGTTTAGGGTTTAGGGTTTGGGAGGCCTTAGTGCAGCTGAGGTTCTTCAAAGTTTTACGGGGTCTGTAGGGGTTGAGGGTAACCACACGTGGTTTTCAGTTCGGCTTTCAGGGACGGAACCTGCGTGACGGGAGGATGCAGAGGCATGCAATTTCCATATTGGCTTGAGACCACTACGCAGAAGAAGATGAACTCCAGTAGAGGTATCCTGGGGCCTCATGTAGTATATGCGGAACTTATCAGAAGCTAAAGCGACCAGAAAAGCTCCGAGACGGCGCCAATCCGTGCTCAGACCTCGCGCGCGCGGCGTCTTCAACAAAGCCCCCACACCCTGAACTCCCAACCCTAAGCCCTAAACCCTAAAGCCTAAACCCTAAACCCGAAGCCCTGAACCCTCAACCCTAAACCCTAAACCTTAATTAATGCCTCCCTAAATCCCAAGTCCTAAACCCGATGCCTTTCCCGAGGCTCTCGTCCTCACTTGGCGCTGTGCTGACCGGGCTCAGCCTCTGGCGCGGCTTCTGCGTGGAGGTGGCAGCCGAGGAGCCTTGTCGGGACGTAAGGGTTCTAGAGGGTTCTATAAGGGTTTAGGGTTGTATAATGATTCAGAGTTCTGTAGGGTTTGAGGGTTCTATAAGGGTTGAGGGTTCTATAATGATTCAGAGTTCTGTAGGGGTTGAGGGTTGTGCAAGGGTTTAGGGTTTTTTTAAAGGTTTAGGATTCTACAAGGGTTTACAAGGGTTCTAACGGGTTTATAAGGGTTCTATAAGGGTTCTATAAGTTACAGTGTAAGGGATGTTACAGGTTCTATAGGGGTTTCTGTATCGGGGTCGCTCCAGGGTTAGGGGCTTCGGATTCAGGGTTTAGGGTTTAAGGTTTCGGGGCCTTGTAAACCCGAAATTTAAGAGCCTCCGGCTCAGGCCGCCGACCCCGTGGGCGACAGACCAAAAGCCGAATCCCTAAACCACCCCCAAGACCTAAGCTGATTGTCCATGCGCAAGCCTTGAGCGTCAATGCGTGGAAGCACGGAAGCCCATG